CCAGTAGGAAAAAAAGTTAAGTTTTCCAGTAATGAAAAAGTGAATGGCATTGCCTGGAAGTTTCTTAGGACTGCTGGTCGACCTTATAGAATGACGTGCAACAGGCTCTCCCTCCAGGGTGTAACAAGCCCAAGAACCCCTTTGAAAGTGGCCTTCTAGCCACTTTGAAATTTTTTTTAAACTTTTAAAAATCTTTTCTTTTGGCCTTTTGGGGCTCCATGCAGCCTCCCAGGGTCCTAGGGGCAGAAAATTGCACCTCCCTGGGCCTAGCTGAAATCTCTATTTGGTCTTGACACGCACTGGGTGATCTTGGCACTACCAGTGCATCTTAACCTTCCTCACAGGGCTGTTGTGAAGCTACAGGAGAGAGTTACATGTCCTTGAGTTCCTTTGCGAAAAGTATGTGTTTAAAACAAAAACCTAGGACTACTGTGGATGATAGATCTAAGACCTTCTCTTTTCATTGGATAACAGCAAAAGGTTGATATGTGTCATTAAGTTGATTCTGACTTAGAGGGGCCATCCTATGGTTTACTAAGACCTTCAGAAGTGGTTTACCAGTCCCTTCTTTGGGTGGTTCTCTGGGATCATGCAACTTGTCCAAGGCCGCATGGGTGTCAGGATATGCAACCCCATCAGCTGCACATAATCTTGGAGATCTCAGCTGCCCATCTCCCAGAAGGCACAGAGGGAATTGGTCCCTGGCTTCCCAGCCAGGCAGTACATCCAACTGAGTTACACAAGCATGAAAGGGTTCACACCACAGCGAAGTAATAGAGATGAGAGTTTGGATCTCGGTTTCTGTGAACAGTTATTATTGAGCTTCTGCTGGTTTAGTAGTTGTTGTTTTTAACCTATATGAGAGAAGTTCCTAGTCTTATCATGAGATTGCTGGTCTCCATAAGTGTATTTGCAATGTTGCTATCTTACATCTGTTAATGGTGTGTAGTGAGTAACCATGTGTGAACTGTCTTGGAATTATTTCATGACTGTGAAGTAGAGGGACTGGGGTAAGGAGGAACTTAGGCTTCGCTTTTAAAGAGCTCAGAGTAGTATACACACTTCTCTCCTTTTATTCTTGGCAAAGTCACCCAGTTATTTTTGTGACTGGGTAAGAATTCAGCATCAACTGCTGCACCACGCTGGCAAGTCAGGGATGTGTTTGTATGTAACAGGGAGAGTGAGTGCACACTTGTACAAGCAATTTTCTTAGCATCCCTTCTTTCTTCCACAAATGGGACAAAGGCGAGCTAACAGTTAAATAAAACAAGTGGGATCAAAAGAAAACAAAGAGAAGAAAAATGTAAAACTCCGTTTAAACATATACACTCATACAAATACAGAAGGCCTTTTCTGCAATAAGTGAAGTCAGTTTCGCAAAGGCTGCCTTGAAGCTTGCTGGGGGAAAACAGCAGGCCTATCAGTGTATCTGTTAAGATACTAAAAATGTGTGTTTATAAAACTGGGCAGGATAATGAATGTGGTGTAAATCATGACTTCATACAAGCCACGTGTGATCCCTGGCTAGTGTTCTGTAAAGCTCATGAAAAATTCATAGATATGGTTTTTCCTGTTGCCCACTAAAGCCAATTGTGGGTCTGGATTGAGTACTCATCCAGTTGATCACCAGTAGGTTACAAATATTAGCAGGGTAGGATTCTAAGATGGGTACAATCATTCTCACCATTATTTGCCTTAGCAACAACATTCTCTTGCTCCTTTGTTGCCTTAAGTTGTACAAAGGTCTTGTTTGGGTACTAGCTAGCAGAAATGATGACATTAGTCACAAATCTGAACAAGGGTTATATGAACTGAACACTAGATGGTCACTTTGCACCACAGATAAATGGCTATTAAATACTCTTGCAACAATCATTTATTGTTGAAAGAATTAGATGCAGAGAATAGCAAGGCTTATATTGGATCTGTGCTTCTTAGTGGATCTGCAAGCTGTGGAAATAACTGACTCGCCCTGAATTAATGGTACACAGTGAGTCTGGGTTAGAAATGGAGTGGCTGAATTGAGATGCATTGTTGTTCAGGGACTAGAAGACATTTCTGCATGAAGAGATTCCTCTCCTCCATCCCTAGCAGTGTACTCAAGAGCCTCGTTTTTATAATTTTTGACCTGTTCATCCTGCATGGAAGTATGTTTCTGTATAGCAATAGTTGCTGCAGAAAATCAATGCAGTATTTGTCATTCCGTGTGTAAAGCATTAACTTTCCTTGTTGAATTCTCAACAAAGGCAGTTAGCTTCTTTGAACAAGAGGTGTGACTTTTCCTCCCTTCTCCTTAAGCTATGACCTCCAGAATATATCCCTATGTCGTATTGGTATGATGGTGTTCAAATAGAAGGGGCATTGTGATGATAGTGGTATGAAAGTACTTAAAATACCTCTGGCTTATGTGAATGTAGAAAACCTCAGGAATTTTGCAATTGAGAATTTTTTTTCTCAGAATGTGTACATGTGAAAAATTGCACATGATTCCCTGCCTCATGTACGCACCTCTGTATGTATCTTCCTACAAGTGGGAAGGAGAAATAAGGTATACGCAAAGTGCTTCACCCTGTTTAGAATCTTCTTTTCATTTATAAGTGGAATAAGTTGAAGTGTTAGTAATTGTTGTAGCATAGTAGTGCTTGTGGTAGCTTTGGTACTTTTGATGTCTAATAATGCATGCATTTCACCCCCATATTCAACAGGTGCACATAGCAGAACTAGAGGAGAGTCCTTCTGTAGGTTCATGTTGAGAACTTAATGATTTAGGAGCTAAATTGTGAAATAAGAAGTCTGCAACTATGTTCAGCTGTTCTCCACCTAGACCCTCAGGTATATTCATGCTCTTATGAAAGTTCAGATGTTAAAGGTAAATTGTAAGAAGCTAAGTATTCACTTTCTAGCAGCAGAAGGTTGCTTTACTCATATCCTACATGTAAGATGTTTGCAAGGTTGGTTCTGAGTTTGAGCTGTGGACTTCAGTGTGTAACAGGAACAGGTTTCTTGTGGAGCACAGTTCAGAAAAATCCCTGGTAGGCTTTCAGAAAAAACGGGAAAAGAAGTTCAGGAGTAGCAAGTCAGCTATTTTATATATTCCCTCATATTTTATATATTCCCTCATGTTCCAGAGGGCAGTAAGAATTTTGTCCTGTGGTCAATTTCGTTTTTTTACCACTAAATGTATTATGTAAAAAAAGGGACAGCTCCAGTTTGTAGAATTTAGAATAATGTGACAGAACTATAAGGCAAACAGTACTGCAGCACAGTAATTTCTAGCTTAGCTTTACTGAAAAAGAGACCTGTTTTTCCCCTGTAGACTTGGGAATTTCCTGTTGCAAGAGCCAAGACATATGGGATGAAAAGTTTCTATGGTTAAGGTGGGAATTTCATGTCACAAAAGAGCCGATCTGTTGTTGTTTGATCAACACAAATAAAAGAGGCTGTTGGTATAACAGATCTTGCATTGGAAACAACATATTGCCGGAGTCCAACTCCAGAACCGAGTTTTTAAATTTTAATATATATATTGATTTTGTTTGCACCTCAAGAATTCTGAAGGTGGGGAAAAAGATCTACAGGTCTTTTCAGTTCTTTGTCCTGTGTAACAAGCAAAGTGTTTCCACACTGAGTGCTGAAATGGCTTTTTTTATCTGTCTGCATGCTTGAATTATTTTCAAATCTGTACTGTTGTGTTGTTTCTTCCAGACCCCATGGCAATCCCACCAGTTTACTGTGACCTTGGAAAGTCTGCCAGGGATATATTCAACAAAGGATATGGTATGTCAGTTAATTATCCAGTTATGTAATGTCACTCTCAGTGACAGATTGGGGGGTACCTGTTACAGATGCAATAGTGGAAGTGGCGATGGGATTTTAGTGCTGATAATGGCCAATGTCCCGCTGAGCTCCTGCTGAGCCTATGCAAGTGTCGCTGTTGCACAATCATTGATTTCTGTGAGAAAAGCTGCCTCCGCGTGTGCAGTGCCAATGTTCTGCAATTGATGTGATCCCATGTTACTATAGCAGTGGAACTTTCTGCTTAGTGGAGACTCAGTAGCTCCTCACTATAATCTCTTGGGACTCTCCTCTCTTTTTTTGTTTATTTTTAAAAAAATTACCAGTGAGTTATTACTGAGTGTGCAATATGTTATTGCATTGCTAAAAGAAATTTCTTTCTGTACACCTCACAACCTTTGACCACAGAAATCAATGACAAATAAGCATTCATCTCCCCCCCCAGATCTCATGATTTTGTGGGGATGTTCACGATCGTAACTAGTTCATTTAGCTTCTTTACATTTGTTTTTGCTTGATTACTGCTTACAAAAGTGACATACATGGTTTCATTTTGAATCAGAGTTCTGGTATTTTCTACAAAACCCAAAAGTAGCTTCTTGAAGGCAAATCAGGTTCATTGTGCTTAATGGCATCTTGAACTGAATCCCTTTCTCAATGCCTGAGGTCGGCCTTTGAAAAGCTGGAGGTTTTCCTGTGACTTCACCTGTTTCCTCCATCCTTATTTGGATTTTTCATCCATCCCTAAGAGCATCTGTTGAGTAAATTTTTCCTCTGGCATTCCTTGAGATTTTAGTTATTTGTTTTATTTAAAACATTTTTATGTTCTGTTGAAGTCCAGGAAAACTGGCTGAAACGAACACAAGCAAGAACAAAAGCAGCAACACTGACATTAGATGCTTAGAGTATAAAGTAGCGTTTGTGATTCCGTTGTTCCTGCAATTGCATTTCAGTCATCCATCCTAACCAGATTCTGATTCTGGACTGTTCTGACTTTGCCCATATCATGAGGGTCTTGGGGAAGATATTTCTAGAGTTCTGCAGATAGTTGTGGATTTCACAAACTGGCTAGAGTTATAATGATGGCCCTTTTTAGTCAGTACAAAGAAGGACTCATAGACAGGTCACCCTCTGTCTAGGGAGTGGGACAGGTTCTGGGATTGTCCTTGCAGGAACTGTGCCCTTTGAGGAACTCAAGACATTGCTAAATTGCAGCCTGTCACAAATGAACGTACGTAACCCTGTTTTCTTCAGCATGGTAGGAACCTGTGGGGTCATTCCCTGATCTGTCTGAGTGCTTTGAGAATGCTTCAGGTGCTCCAAATTCAAGCACGCAGCCAGAGATAAGAGCTAAGCTATCTCCTAAATCAAATGAATTTCATGGTTGGTGCCAAATACACATTACAGTCACAGCCTGTCAAATCTGTTTGTCTTTGCAGAGTTTTCCATAGAGCTCTTTTGACTGCTCCCCTTTCTTCTCCCCCTCTTTTAATTGAATGTAATTGCAAGCTGTCTCTTCTAGTATCAATAAGAACCTTTTGTCTTGGCAATTGCAGGGTTTGGCATGGTCAAGTTAGAGTTGAAGACAAAGTCTTCCAGTGGAGTGGTAAGTAATGAGGATGTCCATTTTTTTCTGCAAGGGAGAACTTCTGCACCATTTGCAGTAGCTCCGTAGTAAGCAGTGGTCAATGTGTACACTTGATCCTCCATGGTGCTGCTTTCCTGTAAGCTTGGATGGAGGATCCCAAATACTTTTCATGCTTCCAGGTGACATTAACTTTGATGTTTTCGGAGCTCCTATTGTGTTTTGGCTGCACAGAGCAACTGCGAAGAGGTGTTTTAGCTGTTGGTAAATGAGCTATCCACTTGTTGGACATGTTTAGAAGATCTGTATAGTAAAAAAAGAGGGAAAATCATTTGAAGAAACATAGAGCTATATAACTATCATTTGGATAACGGACCTGACCAAGTAGGAGAGATATTATTATTTATTTCATCTCTATGATCTTTCTCCTGGTGTAAGGACCCAGGGCACTTCACAAATGGTTAAAAACAGGTAAACTCAACACAATTAAAAATAGAAAGAACTAACAGTTCAGAAAATTACATGTATAACAATACAAAAAGGGCTAGTAATTTTAAAGAGAGAGTGTGTCAGGTGTCATGGATACAGTGACAGACCAAGACTCAGGAGACCTGGGACCATGAAGGCTCACTTGGAGTGGCACCCCTTGATCATATCTCATTCCTCCAAATCCTGTTAGTACACCATACATTGGAAATGAACACACAATTAAAAAAAATACTTTTGTAGCACCTTGCAGTAAAACTCAGTGGCCCATTTCAGTTTTTAAAGCCTGCCTACAAACAAATGTTTTTGCCTGCCCTCCTGAAGGACGACAGGGTGAAGGACCAGCCTGGCCTCCTGAGGGAGGACATTCCACAACCCACGAGTAGCCACTGGAAAGGCCATCTTTTGCCTTCCTCACCTCAGAAGCCTGTGAGAGGGCAGCGGCAGGACCCAGAGAAGGATCTCCCCAAAGATCCTAAAAGCACATATGGGAACATACAGTTTATTTATTTATTGGACTTATATCCCGCCCCATAGCGCTACAAGCACTCTCCGGGCGGTTTACAGTTTTTTTTTAATTATACAGGCTACACATTGCCCCCCCCCCAGCAAGCTGGGTACTCATTTTACTGACCTCGGAAGGATGGAAGGCTGAGTCAACCTTGAGCTGGCTACCTGGGATTCTTCAGATAGCCTATGCCCACGTTTTATAGGGCGTTATATATCATAACCAGCACTTTGAATCGGGCCACGAAACAAACTGGCAGCCAGTGAAGCTGTCGTAATAGTGTAGATATTTGGATTAGTTAGGTCTTGCTGAAGAATCAAAGATGCTAATGTCTAATGTATGTTCTTTTTCCATGCAACACTGGCTTTTGGATGTTTATTCAGCTGGTAAGAATATAGTGTACTTTTCTATGCCTTCACATTTTTGCTCTTGAGTCATGATCCTGCGCAGTTCCTAATGCACATTAAAGGTTAACACTGATAACAGGGCACTAAGTGTTTCATGTAATTGCATTACCAAAGGTATACCAATGTCAGTGGCCTCCGTTTTACAAGCTAGTGATGGAATTAAATGGTGCTCAGTTCTTAATTTCTAAAGAGAGGTTTGGATTGCTCAAGATTGTTCCGTGTCCCTCATTTTTGCCCACAGAGTGTAGTGAAAGATTCTAGTTACTTATAAAAATTGCAGGGGTTTAGGTAAAACTTTGGGCAGTGCTTCTTATCTATGTCTGTCCTGATTAGCAAGGAATCTCTGATCTGGCATTTGACATTTTGTGAATGTTCTGGGTAAGTTGCTGGCTTTTGTGGTTTCTGAGAAACTTAAAAAAATACGTGCATTGTCTTCTAAAAGTTCAAGGTGCAGGCACTTCTGTGAAGGAATTTTATGAACTTGAGTGCTTGCCTTAGATCCCAGGTGCTCCTTAAAACCTCTTTCCTTAGATGTGTGCTGGCACCTCACCTAAGAACCCTCCGTTTGTCATTCGTTTGTTGCATCAAAACACAGTTCACTACTGAACACAGCTTTTATTTCTGTTCTCCGTCTAAGCCCGTTTCTCGCCTAGCTTTTTATCTCTGCCAGGGCTTTTGCTGCTTTGGCCTTCCTTTTTGATCTGTCACATGTAAAGAAGACTTTGATTTAAAGTGTCTTTCCAGCTATATGTGATGATTTGAAATGTCAGATCAGAGCCACAGTTTGGAGATTGCCTTGGCCTCTTAAGTCAAGGAGGAACTTGGCACTAGCATATACAGATATTCAGACAGTTACAGGATGAAGAGTCACACATGTGCACATGCCTCTGTCAGCTAGCCAGAAAGCGGTCTGGTTCCAGATATCAGGACAATTCCGCCTGATCTGTTCATATGTTAGCAAGATTTTTTTCTCTCCTCCATGCCTGGCAAAGAAGGGAAGTCAGGGAAGAAGTTTCTTCTCTGTTCATATACATTTGAAGAAGTGTCTGAATTTTTTTCTAAATTACAGGTCACTTCTTAAATCTTATATCTGATAGTTTTGTAATATTTAAAACAGATGTCATGTCCCCTCAGGCCAGGAAAAAGCCATTTTTAAGTTTTATTGGTCTTCTGAACAGGAATTTCCTCTCTATTTTCCATTCCTGGTTACTTTTGTTGGTTGCTTGTTTGATTGTATGCTGTTGTCAAGCAATTGTATGCGTTCAACTGCACAGTTAATAGGGCAGCATTACACCTACACCCTATAGACCAGTCACTGTACAAAAATAACTTGGAAGCACGGGCTATATCTGTAATAACTTTAGGTTAAGGAATCATCAAGTTATCTAACATTCAGGTTTATAAATAGCCACATGCCTGACAGGCTCGAAGTGGCCACAAAACCTGATGGTGTCTTCTCAGTTGAGGTTCTAAATTACTAAATCAGTCACATTATAAGGTGTATGATATCTATCTGTTTATGTAGGCTAGGAACTTCTTAATTCTAAGATTAAACAATAATTCAGATAAATCATGCTTCTTACCTTGCCCATTCTCCAGAGATTTTGTTTGGGCCTATAGGACTTCTGTGCAAACTAGATACCCCTCCCAGTTCAGTGGGAGAAAGTGGGGCAGCTCCATTTATGTATGTAAAAGGATGTACCGGTACATGAGGAGTGACCCTTCCACAAAAATGAATGGGAAAACTTGCACGTGCGTGAGCCTAGTCCCTCTGAAGAACCTCTAAACTGGATATTTCGATAGAGGTCTGAGGCACAGAGAAACAATGGCAGCATCTCACCTCTTTGTAAAATCATAGAACCATGGAGTTGGAAGGGCACTAAAGGGTCATTGAGCCCAACCCCCTGCTCAAGGCAGGAAATCCAAATCACAGCAGATCTGACAGATGAGTGTCCAGTTTTCTCTTGAATGCCACCAGCGTTCAAATGTGGGTCTGTCTCATTGATATCTAAAGTGTCAAAAGTGACAGTGGGCACAAGGTGCTGAAACGTCTCTCTGCTTACCATCTCTTCGGCTCCCCTTTCCCCCAGCTGGGCTGGCGTGTGGTGTAACAGCTCAGCCGAGAAGGGATGGTGTGGCAGTTCCTTAGCCTCCACAAGAATGGTGACAGTGGAGGGAAGATCCAGTACCCCTTCTTCTCTGGACGCATTTCCCTTAGAGTGCCTTACATGCACAGTGGGTCTTTATTGCCACTGTGTGTAGTGTCAGGGAATGAAATGTTTCTGGGAGTACTTTCTGAGCCATTCATGGAATAAAGCTCAGGATGGTTGCAGGTGGGGTATTACTGATTAGGAAAGCTAGATACCGTAATAATAGAGCGTGGAATGATCTGAGTGTAGCACCCAGTGTCGTGGAAAATCTTGTAACTTACGAAGCATTTGTTGTTGCGTCATAAGGTCTATAGACAACTGAAAGGAAAAGGAATCCATTTTGGCTGTAAAATCCAGTAGAGTGTGTGAATAAATAGTACACAGTGATGTAAATCATGTTGTTTTGATGGAAGTGAGGTGATGGATTGTGTGTTAAAATTTGAAAGATTTCCTATTAAATTACAATATGATATATCTACAGGAATTTATCACCATGGGTTCTTCAAACACAGACACAGGCAAAGCCTCAGGGAACCTAGAGACCAAATATAAGTTCAAGGACTATGGACTTACGTTTGCCCAGAAATGGAACACTGACAACACTTTGGGGACAGAGCTGACCATGGAGGACAAGGTAAGAGGAAGTGGAGTCATGTCTTGGGCACCCCGTGGAAATGAGCTAAAGCAAGAGTGTGTTTGATGTCTGTAGTCCAGGTTAGAATTTGTGGATAAATGTTTTTTTTTTCAAAGATGAATTTAAAAGTTGTTAATAACATAATGGATGACATCCAACGGTAAGTTGCAACTAGAGTAGGCTCATTTTGCATCAGTGGGGATTTTGGGGAGTTGACTCCTCTGTAAGTGCCATTGATTCAGGGGGCTTACTCTAGTTGCAACTTCCTACTGTAATTCACTCACTGTGTCAAATATTTATGCAAGCCCATTTGGTCACATGGCTTGTCTTCCAGGTGAAATACTAGTGCTGGTTTGTTTATGTGTTGCCTTTGTATTAAAATACCCAAAGTAAATTAGATTACATAGTTACACAAACAAAAGAACTGAGCAGCTGTGAGAACAAAAGACGGTACATTAGTTTAAAAAGAGCAGCAGAGGCACTGATTATCATTGAAAGCTCCTGGAGGGGGTTTTTTTTTGTGCTTGTTTGCTTGTTTGTTTTTAAGAAGTCATACCCTGTTGTCTAAAAGAAGTGTGGGTGTTTTGCAGGTTTGTCTAGAAAGGGCAATCAGCAGATGGGGCACTATTGCTAGAAAGGTCTTCTACCTGCTTATCAGGTACTATGGATATACTGTCCATATCATATGCTGAAGCTGCCTCATGGCAAATGTTAGTTTGAACAAGTCCTAAGTTCTCTTGTATCATTTTGAATGTAGACTGGGGACTTTTTAAGAGTAGAGTTTGTATGCTATTGAATATACACAGAGGTTGCACTACTTGGATTAATGGTAAGATATTTAAATGAATGCTTTTGGCAGCTCTTAAATTTCTGGCTGTTCAGGAAACCATTTAATAATTGGCACTGGATAGAGGTTCCAATGGGAAAACCATTGAATGAGACCAGGGAATATGGTGTTGGCTTTGCGGTCAGAAATACTCCTGGACTTTTTGTGCATGGCAGGAGAGGAAGCTGAACACCTTCCATATGCATTGTCTCCAACACATTTTTGGTATCACCTGGTGGGACAAAGTTCCAAATAGCGTAGTCCTAGAACGAGCTGGAATTTTTAGCACGTATGCATTACTGAAACAGCAACGTCTACGTTGGCTTGAGCATGTTGTGAGAACGGCTGATGGTCAGATTCCAAAAGACCTCCTATATGGAGAATTAGTGCAGGGAAGACCACAGCTGTGATACAAGGATATCTGCAAGTGGGATCTAAAGGCCTTAGGAATGGACCTCAACAGATGGAAAACCTTGACCTCTGAGCATTCAACCTGGAGGCAGGCGGTGCATCATGGCCTCTCCCATTTTGAAGAGACTCTTGTCCAGCAGGCCGAGGCAAAGAGGCAAAACCAGCAAAATCAGGGAGCTGGACAGGGAACAGATTGTATTTGTCTTTGGTGTGGAAGGGATGGTCACTCTCAAATTGGCCTTCTCAGCCACACTAGATGCGGTTCCAAGTCCTCCATGCAGAGCACGTTACCATAGTCTCGAGACTGAAGGATGCCTAATCTGAAGAGGTTCCAGCAGCTGAAAGTCTGAAATACTTGAAAACATGTTTCTCTGGGTTCCTTTGTTTCATTTATGTGTTCTTTGCTGTGTTCTAAGAGAAAGTGAGAGAGGCACTGAATAGAAACAAACTAGAAAGAAATGCAGCACACCATCTTGTTTTTGAGAGAGAACCAATGTAGTATTTTCCTTTTTTATTACAGTTGGCTGAAGGGCTGAAACTGAACCTTGAAACCATGTTTGTACCGAACACAGGGTAGGTTCTCGTTTCTCTCAAGAAGGCTTTCTTTGTCTGTGTGCATTTCCCTTTGGGATATGCCACCAACTGTTCCAGAGTCACTGGTAGAAGTAAATGTCTCCACCTCTATTTGCTTCAGGCTATCTTTAAATATTAAAATGTTAATAATCTAGTGTGCCTATTTTGATGTCATCAGAGTAGATGTTATTTCTATCCTTGGACTCAGAAAATTAATAGAAAATGGGCCCTGAAATACCCTTGTGTGCTCCCTGTTGCCAATTACAGAAGGGGTTAACCTTGGTTTTCCCTTCTCATTTCTCCCTTTCACCTCACTGCTGTCCAGGAAGAAGAGTGGGAAGTTGAAGACAGCCTACAAGCGAGAATATATAAACCTAGGTTGTAATGTTGACATTGACCTCTCTGGACCAACCATCTATGGCTGGGCTGTATTGGGCTATGAAGGCTGGCTTGCTGGCTATCAGATGGCTTTTGACACAGCCAAATCCAAGCTATCACAAAATAACTTTGCACTAGGATACAAGGCAGCAGACTTCCAGCTCCACACAAACGTGTAAGTATTGGTTTTGGCCCAGGGGTTAGACCATAAAGACAAGTGAGCTTCCTTCCCTCGTGTTTCAACTAATTGTGTACATTCTCAAAGGAATTGATATCCAGAGGCAGATTCAGAGTAAGTTCTGAGATGTTTTGTTTGCAAAAGTAATTATGCCCATCTTCTGTTTTCTATTGAAAAATGGCTTAAATCTCAGGATGTGTTGAAAGGTGTCTCCAGAGATCAGAGATGCGGCCCTTCCAATTCTTTCAGAGTTTGCGTGCTATTCTTGTATGTATATTAGGGGAATTTGCTACAAGTCAGGAACTCATTAAAAGAGAAGAATGACTATGTCTGAGCAACTGTCGGCGCCCTTCCCTGCCAGCACCTGTTTAGACTAATGCTGTGGGCAGTTAAATGTTGGCAGGGGACAGGGCACAATGCAGCCATCTTGCTGAAACTAAAGCTCGGGGTCTGGTCAGCATCCACCAGAAGAACCAGCCAAAGAGTCCTCTACGCGCACTAGACTTAGTCTTGCAGTGAAAGAAAATTGTAACGTAAATGTGCTAAGCTCAATCTGTTTTGTCTGGAAAAGGCTAATTCCCCCCCTTCCCATGGTCACTGACTCTGAATCCAGGCTGAGGACACTTAAGAGCGTACTTCACCTTTGATTAGGCTGTCACCTTTATGTCATGGGATCTTTCCCTCCTGAAAAGAAACAGATATATGTGCTTTGATGACTACCAGTTCTTGGAAAATCTGTGACACATATAATAAAACCAGGAAGAGCAGAGAAAACGTAACTAGGCAGGTATTTGCAATAAGCAAGAAAGAGGTGAAATCCTGTTTTGTGGGGGATGAATGGAACTTTCACATGATTTGTCATGAACAGGAATGATGGCACTGAGTTTGGTGGATCAATCTATCAGAAAGTGAGTGACAAGGTTGAAACAGCTGTAAATCTTGCTTGGACTGCAGGCAGTAATAATACTCGGTTCGGTATTGGCACCAAGTACCAGCTGGATGATAAATCTTCTGTCTCGGTAAGAATTTTTCTATCTTCCACTTCCTTTGCTATGGCAACCATTGTTCCACCAACGCATCTGAAGAAGTGGTCATAAATATTGTTTCTCAGCCTTTTGGCTAAGATCAAGTGTAGCATTGTAAATACTCAACAGGTTGGCAGTTGCCTTATCATTACTCATGGTTTCCATTTTTCTGCTTTTAAAGTTCTGGAAGGCGACCAGCTCTCCAGAAAGTGTGCACAGACTCTTCTCCCATGGAAATAAAAACCCTGTATCTCACTGCATGTTTTTTTTTAATTCCATTCTAGGCCAAAGTTAATAATGCCAGCCTCATCGGACTTGGCTACACTCAGACCCTACGACCTGGTATGCAAACTGTTGAGTCCTTTGAATGGGCAGCTAGCTGCCTTAGTTTTGATTTTATCTTGCTATGAAATGAGTGGTTTTAAATGTTGTTCTGGTAGGCTGGCAGGTGTTTTACTGAATAAATTCAGTGCAGTTAAGGACATTTTGTGTTACCAAGAAGCTTTGGCATTAGGTTCAGAATCTCACCTTATGTGGAAAACAAGTCTGATTCCTATGGGTGTGTTTTAGGTTTGAGAGTGGATGGGCAGTGTCTGCTGAAACTTCAAATGAGTTAGTTGGAGGGATGCCAGTAGATCACAGGTTGGGGTGTCCAGGTCTTTGCAAGTAGAGTAGACACTGTCAGATGTAGTCAGTGATCACGCTCCAGGAAAGTCTTGTCCCATGAAGAGGAGGGAAAATGAAGGAAAGCAAGTGCACATTTGCCAGAATATGTCTAGAAAGGTCACTTTCCTAAGCTCCTCATGGCAAAATAGTAGGCTTACTATTAACGTTGTTAGGTATTTTTTGTTTTGGTGAACAAGAAATGCTTGTAAGTCTAACACGTTAGTGGGTTTGGAAAGAAAGTTGTGCGTTTCTAAGTAATTGTTTTAAAAAATTGTAAAGTAATGCATGAATGGCTTTTTACTACTAAGCAACCTTGATTCTGAATTAACAATCTGTTTTTTTCATTGAAAGTTAAAGTAGTGGATTGGCTTTTGTAATGACATTTCTACATTCTGGCTTTAGCACTCAACACTGTCTGGGTGTTTTTTTTAGTTGACTCTCTTCTGTCTTGTCTTACTGCTTCAGAATCAGTAATGAATCGCTGTATTTTCTAACAATGGCCCTGTATTTCTGCCAGGTGTGAAGTTGAGCCTCTCAACTCTGATTGATGGCAAGAATTTCAGTACTGGCAGCCATAAAATTGGGCTGGGATTTGAGCTGGAAGCTTAACATAAATTTTGATGAAGTTATTAGATCTTTATTTGGAAGATGAAGGAGAAAACAAACCCCACATGTTTTGGCCTTAAAACTCTTCTGTGAAACTTCAAAGTGTGAACTTGATATTCTTCCAAAGAATTGTTGTAACCCTGACCGTCGAAGTCTGGAGAGTGCTGATCCACCGTGAAGGGCAATACTTGAAGGCATGCATGGAAGTTGTAATGGTTGTGCTACATTTCAGTTCAGTTCCTCGGTTACTTTAAAATGTGTTCCTCAGAAGACAGCATAGCATCTGGTGGAAGGAAAGACCCCCTCAATCCTTCTGTATTGTCACATTACATCCTGCATGTCCTACACCTCATGACCTTTTGTAAAACTGGTCTCTGTGCTGTAGTGGAAACTTTGGTTTTGCATCAAAGTGGAAATAAATCAAATCACATTTGGAACCTATTCCTTGTGTTGTCTCTGTAGCATTAAGTATGGTGTGCTTGGGACCAACCAGTCCTCTTGAGATTGGAAGGCCGTTGAAAAGAGGGAGAGGGGGGCACCCCATGCATTGCAGTTGGACTCTCTTGTGTCTTGGCTATAGGAGGAGCACAGTGCTTTGCTAGTGCAGGTGCCACTTCAACATCTTGAAATATGAATAAAGCATTAGTAGAGGGACACTGGTAGTACTCTGAAAGTGCCTGCTCTTTAGTAGACGGAAAGGGTTGTGGGTGATTGTTAACTTCTCACTTTGCAAGCCGGAGGGTTGCAAATACCTTTGTATGGAAATAGCTTTGTCCTAGATCTTGCCTAATTTGGTCTCTTGTGTCACTCTTTGGGTGAATCGACTCATGGTGTTCCAAAAACAAGAGGAAGGCAAAGTATATTTTTTTAAAAGGGGGAAAAAAGATTTGGCAGTGTACCAAGCTGTGACCCAACAAAATCAAACCCCCTTGTAGAAGGCAACGGCTTCCTTTTGCTGGACAACTGAACTCTGGTAGGTAGGGCCAAATGCATAAAAATAACATGCAGAAGTCCGATCTTGGTACTGAAAACTGGAGGTAGGGCCTTGATAGAATGGAGGATTGATACCTAGAAGTCATGGAAGGCTGGACTTCGAGTTGTGGCTTTTCTCCCCGGAGACTTGTAACACCATTTCCTCCTCCATAGCAGCCTGATGCAAAGAGAGATCCGTCTGTTGTCCAGTGTGCACTAATGGGTTGTTCATTAATTTTGGAACACTTGGTCTTTGGAGAAAAGCATAAGCCTTAGGGATACAATCTCCTGAACCTTGCGAAATACAGCCTCAGCAAGGGCTGAAACTTGTCCCGTTAATATTTATGGCTAGCAAATACAAGATTTTCCAGGATAAAATTTTGGTAGGAAACTGTTCTGAGGACCTCCTTGGCTAAATTTCTAAAGGCCTTGGGGGATCCCAATTGGATTTCCTGCGTGCTTATAGAGGATGCAGAGGCAGGATGTCAAGAAACAATGACACAAGGGAATGACGTGTTCCTTCCCCCCAAAAGATGTGGCTAGGTTTGGGCTGGCACTTAGGAAGACTTCAATAAACATTAGTCCCCGCCTATCGTGAAGAAAGGTGCATCACGCTGGGTGCCTGTGCAACTGTTTAGCGTGCCTGTTTTTTAGTTGATCCCTCCAGATACATGTGCACGGCCAGAGTCTGTGATTAAGATACAAGATGGGAAGAGGCCATGGCAGGGCAACCTGCGCATTAGGAGTCAAGACAGAAAGTTTGCACTCAACAGAGTACAGAAAACCAATTCATTTTATACACAAAGGATTGAAAGTAAAATGCACCACTCTTGTGATTAGCAGCAAGCAACCGTTGCCTCATCAAAAACAGCAGCTGGCATCCCATCAAGACACCAGCATAAAGAAAAAGATAAATCGTTCAGCAGTTCAGTAAAGATCACATTTGGGTTTGTTGTAGATTCTCTCTTTCTTCCGCTTGAAGTTTCAGCCAGCTCCAGTCCAAAGTCTGAAAACAGAACAACCACCGATTCAGATACCTATAAAATGGCCCTTCTCTTGTCCTCCATTTCCCAGGGTACTGGACTAAGGTACAGGTGCTAGACCAAACAAAACACCTGAATGGCTAATCTTAAGTGTTGATATAACTCCCCACTGTCTTTCCAAACAAAAATTATTTACCTTAAGGACATACTAACTATGGTTAGCTAGGGAAAAGTTAGGATATATGAGTAAAATGACAGCAGCATTGTTTAGAGTATAAAACCTGGGAGTTACCATAAAACTGTGTTCTTGATCCTTCATTGTGTCAACCATCACATTCTCTAACTGACTGCAGAGGCTTTCTGATTCCTTCAGGAGCTCCTCACTACAAGATAAGAGATAGGAAAATATTTGCTATAAAGAAAATCCTGTTAGTAATCACGGCATACTTGTGCCACTATACTTAACAGGTACTTCGACTCCCCCAAGTCCAACACAAAAGTTACCCTTCTTCACTGAACTATATCACCAGTTGTTTTTCTCCTCAGTTTCAAAGGCAGTTTGCCTTGTGGCTGAGGGGATAAGAAGAGTAAAGCCTTACCTGGTTGCTTTGACATCCAACATCCTCAACACAGAAACATGTCATGTTCAACATGTGAACTGTGACAGGAGAAGCAGCCGATTCTCTCATGAGTAGGCTCCATGTGCAAACCCCCACATTTTCTGGTATTCTTGTTTGCATGTAGAAGAACAGCCCTCAAAGGGACAACAAAAAGGGGGCAGGACTGTCCCCTTTCTATTCATGTCTACAGTGCTGGATTCAGCACGGGTAAGGCTTAAGTATAAAGCACTTCTCGATTCAAAGAAATACTGGTTCATCCCATTCAAGTTCAACCTATTCTGGTAGCTAAGAATGTTCAATGACAAAATGAAACATGGCAGAAATTATTTTATTATTATTATTTATGGGCCAAAATTCTGTTCTGTAAATTATGCCTGTGTGATGTTACCAGCAAAAGGAACTATTCAAATGCATGAAGTAATGTGGTGTAAAACTGTAGGTAAAAGCATGATTCAGTTCAACTATCCAATTTCAGGCAGTAATGTGATACACTGAAGTATCATTGCAGAGATAAGCATATGCAGCCAAACATCACCTTTTATTCCCAACGTCTGTTAAGTTACTTGGTGGAGCTGAGATCTGCTGACCAGGGTTACTAAGACGCGATGGGCTGTCTGGACTACCACTGACGGGCCCACGCACTTTACTCTGCAGGATAAGAAAAGACAAGTTAAGCTTTTTTGCATGCTATGTGGATACATACCGGAATTTTCAGCAGAAAGCATTGCAACCACCCAAGAGAAAAAAAAAGATGGGACAGGATATGTTCATACCCATCCCATGCAGGAGTCAACTGTAAAGCTCTGCAGTGAGGCAGGCGCTTTCACACTTCAGAGGAGTCCCACATTTTCTCAAAGAAAACTAGAAATAAGATAGGCTTCTCTGGAAGATGTCTAGATTGGCCATGATGGCTTGGGGATTCTGGAAATTTAATTTAAAAAACAACAACTTCTGGACTGTACAGATAGCTTCTGACTGAAGTTACTCTGGCCAGGTTTCCCTTGCATAACTTATACTGGTGCAGGGGAAATGATGTCATTGCAGTAGCAAGCCAACCGGGAATTTAAGAGGGGACTCTTTAATTAGTGGCTGTTGCTTAAGCTATTCTACTTGTGCACAATGGAGAATCACATGAAGAATCATAGCAGGGACTCTTAATTAGCTACCACTAAGGTGACATCACTTCCTCTATGGCAATGAAGGTGACCCAAGGGGTTTTTGACCTTTGCAATAATTTGGCATTCTGTTGGTTAATGTAAGGCCCAACAGGCCCAACGAGTGTCCTTTGTTCAAAGTGTGATCCAAAGCACTCCTCAGAATTTGTGCCTCATACAGCACTATGGAGATCTTGCAGAGATTTCTCAGCAGATAGGATGATGGGAAATGAAAGGTGAGAGAAGTGTATAGTTCCACTACTTGATCTCTGTGAGGAGAGAGGTCAGATGTTTCTAACACACATGGACACACGAGTTCATTTCACCCACACAGGCAATTTTCAGCAGGTTCCAGAGTTCTTTCTGACGTTTCTCCTGAAGCCTGACCACAGTTTTCTCATCTTCGTTCATCAAGCTCATCACCTCGTCCACTTTAGGAAACAACTCCAGTGCCTTTTGCTTGCAGACAACTGTTTTACTGTAAGGAACCAAAAGGCTAGTCATCTGCAAGCAGCTGAAACAACACGAGACAGTAGCTGGGGACACAGACATTACCCTTTGCTGGTATTTGGACCAACACAACACCACATCCCGGTGACCTTGGGAAGCTTCTTAGCTTTATTGCAAATAACTGGTTCAACCTTCCCTTTAGGATAGATTCTTGAGAGTCCTACCTGAGCTGACCATAGAGCAAGTGGACTTTCTTTTCAAAGGTCTGGATCGCCTGGAGGAGCAGTCGTACAACTTCCTGGCTGTCTCCACTCGTTCTTTGGTCTACATAAGCAGAAAGCAGAGACGCCTGAGTGTGCTGATGCTGAGACAACTTCAGGTGTAATGTACTATTGCACAGTTGTTCCCCTTTGATCAAAGCATACTGCAACAAGACTCCAGTGCAACAGACATTTTACCTCGTGGTTTTTCCCTCAGCTTCCGATACAAATCCCTCGCTTGTTCCTCACTATGAAAGAAACAGAAAAACACAGTACTGTAGTCATCTGAATAACACAAACATGAAATGACTGCAGAGAAGAATCTTAGTTATCCTACTGTAAAGCAGAAATACTATTTACAGTCTTTGCAGGTAAAATGATGATGTGCCACCAAGTCACTTCTGCCTTATGGCAACCCTTTCCAGGTTTCCAAAGCATACTTAAGTTTACCACTCTCCTCTTCTAGAGGCACTCGGAGTGCGCAGCTTGTCGAAGGCTACACAGGCTGGCTCTACTTGCAGCAGAAAAGAGGACAGAACTCTCGATCTCCGGCTCTGAAGCCAGGTGCCCCATTCACTGAGCTACCCATCCAGCTAAAAACACAGTGTATCATGAGAATATGAGACAGCCAACAACAGTTACCATACACGAGAACAAAAACCATCTGTAACCATGAAGAACCTTGATCTACAACACAAATTTTCTTGGCAAAACAAGATTTGTACAGTAACGACGGGACAGGAACTTAGCTACTTACTAGAAATAAGTAGTAATTTACTACACCTCTGCAGTCCCTGCTCTCCTGTTGGGATGTGTTGTACACTAACTGACCTTTCAGCCAGATCAAGGAGTGACAGACGTGCTGGAAAATGAGGCCATAAGGCTAAAAGGCAGCAGGAAGAGGTACTTACAGGTCATCCAAAGAGCTCCCTTGTTTCCGGCCTTGTGGGATTCTTTGCAGGTCGACAATGTCTGTCTGGAGGGCCATGGTCTTTTTCACCAGCTGTTCAACATCTTCCTCCTTCAGAAAGAACCCAGGACTTCTTTAGCCATATGCTCAGAGAGGAGCACCTGGCTACAGCTAAGGCTGTAGGTAATCAACCCTTTCAGCCGCAAGCTTAACGACTCTCAGGTTAGCAATGCCTAGATGGCTTTGTATCCATGGAGCAGGGTTCACCCCTTTCACTTGCTCCAACCTGTGGAACTTTTCCCGTTCCCTTCAACAGGTTCTGGCTTGGTGTCTCAGGACAGCTTACAAGCAAGTTAGCAATAACACTCGGTTCAAGGAAATTTTTTAAAAAAAACATTAAAAGTCAAAACGTACCCTACCACACAGCTCGACAACCTGCTCCATTTCTTTCCAGGCAAGAAGCAATTTCTCAGAGGCTGTAAAGAGAGCAGAGGAGTCGTTTCCAAACTATTTCACTTCCTAAACAGAACAAAATATCAAGTGGAGCTTTCTCAAGGGAAAAATAATAAAAGTTCATGTGCTGTGACTAGTCAAGACCAACATAAATGAGGAAAATACAGGCATTTAGTGCATGTTTTATTAAGTACAGAAAAAGAAAACACCATCAGAGGAGCCCTGACCAGCAACTACACTTTTAAACAGGGTCCATCATCTGAACTAAACAGTATCTCAAGGTCTTCTAATGCTTGGTCTCGGGCAATTTTACGCTGCACAAATGGTGATGTTAACAAAAGGCAGGATCAAGGACCCTCTTTGGGGCTCGGTGGGAAAGCCTCTGAGCTACAATAAGCAGAGGAAAAGAGAGAAAAATAAGTTCGAGGTTTTCTTTCTCACACTTTCAAGTGCCAAGCCACATAATACTGAGGGATAAAAGGCAGGAGGATTTTTCAAAAATTAAACCAAATTGACAACAAGCACCAGCCAGAATCTGCTGTAGGTCTGAATCCACCCTTATGCCACAAACTCCTTGTAGAAGGCAGGTCAAGGAGAAGGTTTCTAAACCACCCTTTTTCCTTGCATGGGCTGAGAATTACTAGCCCATGGACGACATCTTCAAAGCAGGAATCCTTCACTCATGATCTAGCACTCCAAAAACTAATACTGCATGCCCATGCAAAACAAATCTCTAAGGAAGAGACCAGACTCTCTCCTAGCAAGTGTGCCGACTCCAGGAAAAACAGAACTCACTGATTCCGAATTCAACCTGCTCGTTGTACTTCTCCAGGTCAATCTGGATACTTGCTTTGAAGAAGTCCAGTTTTGCTTTCAGCTGCTGAGACAGAGAGGCCATGGTGTTCTTCATCTTGGAGAGTGTGCTGTTATGCCGCAGAAGATTCCTCCTAGGAAACCGAGGAAAGGAGAGTCATCATTTCAGATGCCCAAAGGATTACGATGCAAGGCCCAATTGCTCTTCCATAAGAAACACCAGAGTTCCACTACCATCAACCCCTATCAGTTTGGCACAGCCATGTGGCCCTTACCTTTCAACTAGTCAATCTTGCAGGCCCACATTTATTTCATTTCGTTTTGTTTCATTTTAAATGTAATGTAATTTATATACTGCCCCATTAGTGCACGGCAGCATTCTGGGTAGTGTACATATAAATAGCCCTATATTTTCAACATAAATGCCGACATCAAAGGTGGAATTTAGCAACCTGTGCCCTTATGTTTCAGCCTTCCCCACTTCTATCGTACGCTTCTAGCCCCAGCAACTGCAAGTGTTAGTCATTAGGGCCAGACAACGGAGGGACACCCTGAAATTCTGATAGATAAATGAGCAGGACTTCCACACAAAAGTCTCAAACTCCCTCCTTGAGCTATCCTGACAACGATAAAAAAGGCAAATAAATATAATGTAAGTTTGCTTAAATTTTAATACTGTAGGATTATACTTTCATCAGGCATGGGATATGAAATTTTGTCACGACAGACAAAACGGTTAGTTGATTTCCCCTCCCCTCCACAAACATACATACATGGCTGCTCGTTGACCGTTCTGAAGCTGATTGAAGTCCTCGTTCAGACTTCGGATGGCATGCCAGACCTGGCCCCACACTTTGCGCAGCTGGAAGAAGGAGAGGGTTCTCTTGGGATCCTGAACTGCAGGAGAAAGCGGAGAAATGCCAACGCTCGGAAGCGTAAAGGAGCTTCAGCAAACTCCAGCCCTGTTCAGCATTTCTGAAGCCACTTCAGGGGCCTTTGCAAAATATTCCAGGCTCTGACGGGACCTTGCCTGGTTTTCTGATTTAACTGAACATTGCATAATATTCTCTTTACAGACAAATAAAACCTTCAGCCCTGAATATTTCAGCAACCACTCAGTCAAGAAGACTCCCTGACTTGCTTCTATTTTGACACCCACTGGTGCAGTGAATAGAACTTATCTAAACTGCAGTCAATCCTGAGGGTGGATCCTGTGGCTGCCACTGAAGAGCCACAGACCTCACTAGCGGAAATAGCCACCCACTGGTCCAGTTACTAGGAGCAGCAAAGGATGGCATCTGGTGAATGACAGCAATAGGGAGATGCCCATAACATAGCACACCTGTTCCAAAGAAGAGCTTGAAAATGTGCAGGCAAATGCCTGGAGTTTCCTTAAAAGCCAGAGGATTGCTCAGTAGTTCAGCCTCAAGGTCTGAAAGCAGGCTTCTATCACCATAGCAGACTGCACCATGCCAAGAAAATATGAGCTCCTGTGCTATACATGTCCGCCCCCCCACAAACACACACAGAGAGTAGGACCCCCTTATCTGCAGGGTCAGTATCCACTGATTCCCTTATCCATTGTTGGAAAATATTGAAAATATTAAAAGAAAAATCCCAGAAATATATATTTCTAATGAAGTTATAATCCACTTTTTCAGCATCTGCAAGGGGGTTTGGAACTAATCCTCTGCAGACACGGGGGCCTACTGTATATGTATGTGTGTGTATGCACACACACGCGCACACACACAATACAAATTTGGACTATTGCAATTGTTAAAGCATGTATATTTTTTCAGCCATAGATACAGCAACTATTCCTTGGGACAGCTTGTCCTTCAAACAAATGATGCACTTTTCACATCCTAGCAACACACACACACACAAAAGAGAGCTCTTACGAATGCAGTTAATGCTTTCTGGGTGGGGTCGTGGGGAAATCTGAGACTCATAGGTGACTTTCCGGTTGTCAAAGAGGAAAAAGAGACCCGTGTCAGCAGCTGAGGCATCACTTAGCTGCAAGAAAAGATAAGACAGGCATTAGGTGGTGGCTCTCCATGGCAGATTGATTATTTGGTTACATCTTTTAGTCCTGCTCCATCCAAAGGACTCAACAGTTAGTTTCCCCAAAGCTGGCACTCCAAGCCAACCTCCCCCAATCTAGTGCCCTCCAACGGTGCTGGGCTACAATTCCCATCATCTCCAGCCCATGGGAGTTGCAGTGAAATGCAGCTGGAGTGCACTGAACTGGGGAACGTTGATCCAAACCATCCATGGAATGGGGGAATCTGACAATCCTGTTTAAAATGGAGAATTATACAGAAAAAAAAGGTGCAATGTCTTCCCAATGCAGCAGGACAAAGTCCACAGTCTCCTCCCTCTTGCCCAAGAGTTCTGCCCCTCACCCCATCTGTCCCTTTCCTTCTTCCCCTGTTTCCTTTTCTTGGAACAATTTACTGGTTTCACAAGTTGCATGTAGAGATGGGGGTCTTTGTATACATCGCCACCGTGCAGGGAGACTCGTCCTCCCTCCGCCTGCCTGGAGTGTCCAGCCGAGTGGGAAGAAAGCAGCACCCCGGGAGTGATTGGAAGGATGAGCAAGGGCCGTCGCAGCCGCTGGATGTGTGTGTGGATGGTCTGGCTCCAGGGGCCGGACTTAAATCCAGCTACGCAGAGATATTTGTATACGAATACCCCCATCTCTAGTTGTATGTCAACAGAGAGACATCCCACTGAAGGGAGCCACACTTTGACACCATACCTACCTTTGGCACCCTGGGAGTGATTGGAAGGATGAGCAAGGGCCGTCGCAGCCGCTGGATGTGTGTGTGGATGGTCTGGCTCCAGGGGCCGGACTTAAATCCAGCTACGCAGAGATATTTGTATACGAATACCCCCATCTCTAGTTGTATGTCAACAGAGAGACATCCCACTGAAGGGAGCCACACTTTGACACCATACCTACCTTTATGTCTGCTAGATACTGAATATCTGGTTTCTCAGGAAACAATGCTAATCCCCCTTCCTGCAGCAGCTCCTGGTCTTGCTCTGGGATGCCGGTATCTGCCTCAATTTTGGCTTTCACACTCTGCAAGGCCTCTTCCTCTGCCAGAGGATATAAGTGCATGATGCCCGTCACCATGTTTAAGACATGTACCAGCTGCAAAAGAAAAAGACCCATGAAATGGGAAACTGAAACAGCTGATACACACCCCACTTCATTTAGATTTTGCACTGCATCTATTTAGCAAATGCTCCCTATTGCCTCTGTGCACCAGATATACTACAGGCAGGGGACACACATATTTCTTTCTCAGAGGATGTTCTCTAAAAGCAACTCTGGGGGAGGGGACACAACAGAACATATCTACTTAGCAAATCCTCCCTGTTTCCTCTGTGTACCAGATATACTACAGGCAGGGGACATGCATATTTCCTTCTCAGAGGATGTTCTCTAAAAGCAACTCAGGTTATATGCTTTATGTGGGAAGCTTGGGGACAAGCATGCCATTTTCTCTAAGCGATGCCCATTGGGACATGTACCGCATGCAAAACTTTGACTGGACTGGCACCCTTACGGAAGCAGCAAGAAAACTAGAGAGCTGTCTCTTAAGCCAGACCCTTCCTGCAAGATGTGCAGAGTGTAACAGTCGACTCCCGTTGCTCTGCCTAAGCTTTCCAATGCAAGGCAGAGGGCAGCTCCTTTATTTTCTGTGTGATTCATGCTTGTGCAAGGAGGTAATGAGGACTTCCCTGTGCAAGCTCTGGAAAAAAATAACACACACCCCTCGCTCAGTGGATTGCTGATTAAGCAGAAGAGAGCAGTCAAGAGGCTGGGCACAGTTTAACTTTCAGTCCCATTCCAAGAAACCTCTTGAGCGGGCACTCAGAACACTTCCTGTTCATCTATGAATTATCTTTCTGAAAAAATACATCTCTGTACAAGATAAGACATTTTATTATTTGAGAAACCCTGAGAACGTAAAACTCAGTACATTACTCTGAGGTGATATAAAGGACACAATAGTTCAAGTGCCATTTAAATAGTTTTTCAAATAGTTAATGAAGAAAAAGTTGATAATGTCAGTTCACTGAGATAAAAAGTTATAGGCGCTCTATGGTAACAACATATCTATACCTGTATAAAATCATGTAAACATTTCTCCAATGTTTCTTGAAGCAATGCTCACAAATTTTTGTAGACAAATACATATATTGTTATCAAAGAGGGTAAGCAGTACACACGCTGTCTGTGAGGTGCCTGACAGAGGTGTGGCAACCTAAAGCAAAATGCTTTACTTGGATGAAATAGATAGGAGTGTTTCCCATGGGCCATTTAACAGGCATGGGGCCGAGAAAAAGTAAAAATGCAGTAATTTCTACTTGGTTTTGATTGGCTACCTAGAGCCTTCCACGTGTTTTCATGATTGCTTGAGTCTACAGGTCTCTAGGGAGACCCGAAAGCAACGTTGCAAAGCACATGCTAAATATTCACGTATTTGTTTGAAAAAAACCTTCATGTCCTTTTGCTCCAGTAGACCATTCTACGTCAACAAGCACCAGTTTCCCTTGCAAAATGTGGGTTTAATCCATTATTCCAAGACCAACCCATTCATCTAAACCCATAAACCGAAAAGTTTTAAATCGAAACCATCCAAATTTCCAGTCTGGTTTGAGACGTACTTTTAAGTTCAAGATATCGTCCAGTGCCTTGAAGCAGCCGTTGGGGCCGTAGGAGGCGTCGGTTCCTCTCTGCCGCGGATGCCATTTGAGCATAAGCTGCAGCCATTTTTCCAGCTTATCAGCCAAGACACTGTAAACGTAACCATGGAAAAGAAGTCAAAAAGATGAAAGTCGTGGAGGAGAGTTACCAAAATTGTTCAGGGAGAGCAAGCATCTGATGGGAGAGTCAGGTGGAGCTAAACTTCAAATCCAGCATTAGGACAGTCATGGAAAAGGTATTCTTTGCCACATCAGCAGCTCCTTACCTGTTCAAATTGTTGGGGTAGGGCAGTCTGCTGGAAAATTTCACTTCGCCTGACAAGTCTTCGTACACAACAATATCTAGCTCACTCTTCTGTCGGACCTTTGCATGCCTAGGAGAATCAAGATGGGGCTCAGAGACATTCAAACTTGCTTTTTTGCCAGGGAAATACAGACTCCCAACAGCAAGGGCTAGAAGATGCCCGATAGGATAGCATTCCTCAAATAGGATAGGATAGCACTCAAATTCTCTTCGAGAATACTCTTCAAATACTTGAAAAGCGGCCATCCAGAGGAGAGGCAGGATCTGTTCTTGATCGTCCCAGAATGCAGGGCACAAAACCATTGGCTCATGTTACAGGAAGGCAGATTTTGGCTGAATATCAGGAAAAACTTCTGAACTGTACGACAATAAAACCAATAGCCCTGGGAGGTGGTGAGCACTCCAGCACTGGAGGCATTCAAGAGGAAATTGGACAGATCTGCTTTGACTTGGATTCCTGCATTGAGCAAGGGGTTGATTCGGTGGCCCTTCCAACTCAGTTATTCTATGATTCTATGTATTGTGGCAGAAGCTTTCATGGACTAAATCCCACGCAAAGCTCTCTTGCTTGTTCACACACATATTTGTTTGTATGGATACAGAGGCTGCCCATTTTTTTCCCTGTGTGAAAGTGATGGAAAGTGTACGACTCGCTTTTTTCAAAGCAGGGATCCTTCACAGCATGTCAACCACACAAACAATCAATGCCTGCAAAACACTGATTTGGACGTACATAAAATCAAATGCCACTCTGCCCTTAAAAAGTGCTAGTTTCAATGTAGCACTAATCTACAACTCAACACAGCCCTCCCAAAGCTGGTGCCCTCCAAGTCCCTTTGACTGTACATCCTAACACTGCCAGCCATTATTCTGGTTTAACATGATGAGAATGAATTTTCAACAAGCATAGTGTGGAATATTTCTCAACCAACACTGCTGTTTGGTTTGGAGTTGGACAAACTCTGATTAAGTGTAATCATGGCTAAGCAAACTAACTTCAAATCATAGTTCAATGAAAATGGTTTGTTTCAATCAATGGTAGTTAAAATTAACCATAGTGTATGTATGGAATGACACTTTAAACTTTAGCTAATATAAAAGAGGTCTTTCAATCTCCTCTTTGCAGTCAGACCCCAAGAGAAAGGAGTAGAAAGTGTGGCAGCCTAAGTCCATTCTGAATATAGCCATGGTTACACATATCAGTCTTCCCTTTGGAAGATTGTGCAGTAGGGGGAAATGTTAAGTTCTGCCAATTTAAAGGAAACAGAACTGTGCAGAGCAGAGATTGGCTTTGTGCCCTCAATGTGACAAAGCACCCTGTTCTCATTTCCGAGACCAGGTCTTCCTCTTTAGAAAAGTGGCTCTCTTAAATTAATAACAGCAATTAACAATAATCAAGTGCTATATGCTGGTTCAAAGATCCACATTTCACTCTTCGCTGTGAGTTACTCACCACTGAACGGGCTGCCAGTTGGGAAGAAATGGTCGAAAGCCTGTTATACACTCAAAGGCCAATGTGCCAAAGCTCCAGTAATCCACTGTTACCGTGTATTTCTGCTGCTCCAGCAGTTCCGGTGCCTAAAATGTTGTGAACCAGAAAAAGACTAACAAAACTTTCCAGCGCATTTCTGTTCAGAAATTCAATTATACATTCTTTGAGGCATGGTGAAATCCTCCGCTTGCTGAATTCAAGTTTCTGGATTCCTTTAAAAGGTCATCAGAATACAGAGATTTCCCCCTGCTTCCAACTTCATCTTCACTTAAGCCGGCATGTTTCACACACAGTTTTTTTAAAAGTTTTTTTAATTTAGCATTTACAGGCAGTGGACAAGTGAACCAGTGGATACTGATCATCTGGATGGGGGGGGGGTCCTGCTGCACTTCTCCAGGATGTTTGGCTTTTTGGCTACCAACAACTCCACCTCCCCTTTGCTGCAAGCTCAAAGTGCCTGCCTGTGTCTTGCTCAACAGCGTCTGCATGACAGCTGCCTTAGAAAGAACTTACCAAGTACTGTAATGTCCCAACAAAGGAAGTGCACAAGCTGCCTTGATCCAGTTCTTTGGCATAGCCTAAGTCAATGATCTTGTGTATCAGCTGGGAAATAAGCACAGAGACAACTGTATGAGGAAGTGAAGAGCACTAGGCAGGAAATTAAAAAAAATAGCTTAATCCCTCCCTCTCCAACAACAACAACAACAACAACAAAAACAAATTCTAGGAGGAAACTCAACTGATTAAAAAAAAAAAACAGCACCAGCATAGTATTGGGTGGCTAGTGGCTATAAAGTTTGGGCTGTAATTTCCAAAGGGGTTTTGTTAGTACTGTACATTGCAGCAAAACCAGCAAAAGAGTCTTGTGGCACCTGAAAAAGACATTTTTTTTGGCATAAGCTTCTGTGGGTTTCTTCAGACTGTATCTGAAGAAATGAGCTGCCACCCCTCCCCCCCCCCCAAAAAAAGCTTATGCTAGATGCCACTCGTTTGTCTTTAAGGCACCAGAAGGCTCTTCCAAGTTTGGGCAGATGCCCAGAACCCACGGATGTTTGACGACTCCACTGCACAGAGTGTGGGAGCCTGTATGTGCCTTAATCCATCCTTCACGTGGGAAAATAACAGAGTGAGGATCACAGGAGGAATGTAAGTGGAATGATCCAGTGGCAGGAGAGGATTTCCCCAAACGGAGATCCAGCTCTTTATAGCTGAAGCCATGCGGAGGGGACTGCATTGAAGGAGATCAGTGATTATTTTGCCTCACTAATGATTATTCTCAAGGGACCCTTTTGGACAAAAGGGGTGCTGTGTTTCCAGCTTCCCCCTAGTCTGAGATGGGCCAGTTCCTGGGAAACCCAGATGAAAAGGACTGTCGCTCACCCGCTCATCTCCTTGCTGCAGGACAATGTTCTCCGGTTTCAGGTCTCTGTGGATGATCCTGTTCTCATGAAGGTATCGGAGAGCAGAGGCTGGCACGGAGTGAGAGAAAGGGAGAGCACATCACCATCACCATCTAAATCTAGAGTGGACGAGTCGCCCAGATAGGCGGGGTATAAATCAAATAAATAATAATAATAATAATCTATCCTTCGCAAATCCCTCTGTTCTGTTAACCGAGCAAGAGAAGAGGGGAGCAGAGAAAGCGCGAGCTGCAGCACAGAGGCTCAGAAGGGGAGACAAGGAACTTAAACAGAGTCGCTCTATGAGCAGTCCTGTGGTAGCCCTAAGGACGGCCTCGTTCACTAGGCATATATTCATTAGTCAGCCAGAGCCCGTTTTCCCTCTTCTCCCATGGCTCTGTTTGGCCTACAGAGATTGCTTTGCACCTCCATCTTTTGATGAAGGAGGAAGGAAAGAGTGCACGCGTGGATTAGAGGGTCCATTTTGCCTATCAGGGCAGGCTGAAAAGGTGCACAGGGAACGGCACCTGAAAGAGAAAAGCCAAATGACATCTCTCCCTTACTCTGTCCTAATGACCACAGCCATAAGTCTTGTCGCTGAAACGAGAAGTATCTCAGCATGAACACTACTGTACTTTTGAAAATCCTACTCATCTCAGAAGCTTGGACAGAAGAGCTTCCTACAGATTACACCCAATGGATCAGGACAGGCGGTGGGTCCCCCAGTTACACCCTGAACATTGCTCCGTAATCTATTGCCTGTCTTCTTTGCCTCCTGACGGAAGAGCCTCAAGTCACTTACCAATGTCTGACAACAAGACCAGGATCGCTCTTTCACGCAAGCCGCAGCAGTTCTCAAGCTGGTTCAGATGCTGCAGGATTTCAAGGGAGGACATTAAGAAAACATTCTCTCTCTACATTTGGTGCATGGCTGTGTCATTTCTCTTTGGTCTTTAGGGAATCTCCGCTGAGTTTCACAACAGGGAATGCTGTTCACCTGAAGTACTGAACCAATCCATACATTTGACAGGTACCTCTGAATTAGGCTGTACAGGACCCCGTCCCCCATCAATTGGGATCAGTATCCACTGATTCACTTATCCACTGGCTGAAAATACTAAATAAAAAAACCCCAGACATACCTATTTATATGTATTTCCAGGGTGTGTTTAGCAGAACTGGCTGGCTGCAAGAGGGAGCTAGAGACCCTGCAATGGATAGTATTTGATACTTCCGTGTTCTTCAGCATCTGCAGGGGCTGGGATTGGAACCGATTCCCCCATGGTCCTACTGTACAGCTCTGAAAGGGGTACCTCTCAAACCACTCTACCCACCACACTGGGTACTGTTAGTATTACATGCAGACTGAAATTAAAAATCTCTCAAAAAATAATGGCTCTAGACTTTGTCCTGCTAACAACAGATTCACCAAAATCAGAGACATGGTAGTCATGACTCATTTGATTTCCTCTGATTCCCTTGGGCCTGCTCAGGACGAAGTCTGGATACGGCCCAACAAGACCTTTTTAATAACCACTACGTAATGGCCAATAGATGATTAAAAGCCTCTCCTCTCGTGCCAGGTTTTCAGAACTTATTGAGCAGATACAGCTCACCCTGAGAATATATACTCACTTATTGAGAAGATATACTCACCCTCCTGAGATCTCCGCCTTGGCAGTATTCCATGGCCAACAGAGGCAAGTCGTTGAGTGCCAGGCTTTGCATTCCTTCGGGGACATCCCGAGCCGCCACCACATTCGGGTGATTCAGACTGAGAAAAAAAGGGAACGGAGCCTCGAGGCCATCTCCCACTTTATCTTGAGACAGTGATTTTCAAATTTTAAAATTTCTAGAGAACCTTTTTGTGAAACTCTTTTTTTTCACTGACCTCTAAAACTCCAAGCATGTGGCACCCAAGTGTGGCAAAAGATTCTGGGAAATACTGTCCAAAATGTTGTTTCTTCAAACCCTGGATTTTAGTGCATTTCCTAAAGCACACATTTTGGTTCTCTAACTGCGCATAATTGTATAAGCCCCCTCCCCACATTGCTGAACACTGAAGACACAGCTCTTTTTAAAAAAAAGTTTTCTAAAAATGCTGTTTGCAACTCTTATTAAGAGGCCCCGAGTAATCAATGTACAGATCTCTGAGCATCATATATGTGTACTGTATAGCTTTAATAGATAACAAAATTCTGTATGTTAAAATATTTTAGAGGGTTACATGAACTGAAAGCAAAAGAAATTTCAATAAGTTATTAAATAACACTAATATTTTTTAAAGAATCAATTCAATAAATAATATTAAATTTACAATCAGCTGGAAAGGAAATATTGCAAAATTAGTTATTCAATAAATTGACCTTACTTGTCTTCACAAATAGAGGCTTACACAAAATATGTTGCTATCCACACAGCTTCTCCACAAACGTCTTTAGCAGGAAAGCTGGGAAATGATCCTCTTTCCACTCTGGCCCTCCTCTCCTGTTCTTACCTACGTGGAAAGCTCACGCAAAGAGGCAATCTTTCTAATATTCGCGAAGGCTTTCACGGCTGGGATCTAATGGTTGTTGTTGGCTTTTCGGGCCAAACAGCCTGAAAAACCCACAACAACCAATCTTTCTAGCCTTGCTCTTGTCTGAGCCCAGGGCTGCCATGTTGATGGTGACAAGCAGTCTTCCTTCCTATACTTCCTGAGGTTAACAACCCTGATTTTTTTTTTGGGGGGGGGTCCTAATTTACATGGAAAGCTAGCTACCTTGCAACCGGGATTCACATCCTCCTGCTAAATGCATTTATTCAAAACCCAAGGTCGCAGGCCAGGATAGCGTCAGAATTCTCACCGTTTCATGATCTGTATTTCCAAACACCATCGTTCTCTGTTGCGTGGGCTGAGTTCCTGGCGACACTGCTTGATTGCAATTTGTTCCCCAGTCTCCTGTTAAGAAAAGGGGGGATGTTCCTAGGAAATGAGCAGGGTGCGCTGACCCGCAAACCTCACAGCTGTATTCATGCAGTTGTGAACGTTGCAGATGGCAACACAGTTCTTCTAGGAATGATTATAAACAGCATTGCATGTGGCCGCGTTTTACCCCATAAAAGAAGTTTCCGAGGAAATACGCAGGTTTTGATCCTAGGCAGAAGGGCAGCTTGGCCTGGAATTATTCCCTCTTTTCGCTACCCTATAATTTCTCTTATTTTAAAGGTCTGCGTGACACAAAAGCTTAGTACATCACATTTATTCAGGAGCATGATGTAATTAAGCTAGCCCTTCAAGCCTTTGGCCAAGAAAAGCATATTAAAAAAGCCAAGGAGGGAGTGAAGGCTTTCAGGAAGATCTAGAAGAAAAGGTCCTTTCACAAAATAATTTCAGAGCCCTTGTTTTATGGCTGGTTAAAACCAGTTGGAAGGGACTCATTTTTTAAGTTTAATTGTATATATTTTACCAACAGCATCTCACACTGTCGTCCACGGCACAATGAGATCAGCTTCTTTGTCAAACAATAAATGGGCAAAACATGTCATTAGAAGCAATAACATTCAGAGACCATTTAGTCCCTCTCGGTGCTTCATCCTTGAATTCAGGGTGGCTGTCCTTGAATACAAGAACTTGGAAAGAGAGATTTGAAGTGAAGCAGCCAAAGAAAGAAAGAAAAATAATACATCAATAAGTTCAACACTATCTCTCACGGCTTAAATTAAAAAAAAAAAACAGGTGGGTGGGTGGGTTTCTCATTTCACTATACATATAAATACATTGAGAGAAATACTTTCGCCTTCAACTGAAACAGACCCTATCAAGGAAGGGGGAACCATGACTTCAAAGGGTAATTGACTAAAGTAATTGACCTGCCCAGGCCAGAATGTTTATCCAAGTCTATGACCCATAGTTATTGACTTTTGTAACTTAACTAGGGTTAAAAAAACAGAACTGACATTTTCTGAATTGCAATACAGTCACATGATCACCATTATCATCATCATTGCTTCAGTCTCTCTCACTCCGATATCTATAAGAGGTGTATTTTATAATTTGAACCCTTTGCAAGCTGAACGTTGGCTGTTGCTTTTGGTACTATCCGTCTGGGTTTATTGGAAATGGGCCGAAGAACTCCTTCAGTCAAGCCCCCACTGGCTCCTATAAACCTGTATGCTTTGAATGTGGTGCGTCCAAGGAAGTGAAGAGAAATCTGGAGCGCCTTCCAGAGACTGGGTGGTTCGTGGTGCGGACAAGCGGAGTTATCGCCTTGGAAAAAAACCGATTCATTCTCTCTCTCTTTTTCTCCCTTTCCCTTTTAAACTCAGGAAGCCAAAGTGTCACCAGAGCATGTTTCCTCCTCTCTGGGCGGCGGCAGGAGCACCCCCATTTTAGGGCAGGCCTCCCTGGGAGGAGGAGAGGGGGCTCAAGAGCAAGGAAGAGGCCCTCCTTCCCTCCCTCCCTCCTGGGACAGGGCAGCTTTTCAGAGGAGGGTCACCCTGTTGGGGTCCCTTTCAGCAAACAACTGAAATAGTTTTATTTCTTTATTGAAAGTAGTAGTATTTTTTTTTACCCTGCCTTTCTCCTTTTTTTAAAAAAAAGGACCCGAGGCAGTTGGCACCATTAAAAGGCAATGTTTAGAAGTCAAAAGCAAGAAGCCCTATATATATCTATATATATCTATATATTTATATATCACTGCACACAAACATGGTTTAAGGTGCTGCCTGTTTTTGTGTTGTTTTGTTTCTTTGGATTTTGCCTGACCCGCTTGCATGGACGGGCCGGGGGTGGGGGGACGGGGGGGGCTCTTCCAAAACGACCACTTTCTCAAGACCAAGTTGGCCAGGATTTGGGGGGGGGGGCGACACGGGGCGGACACA